CTGTGAGAGAGAAGAGTGAGAAAAATATGGAAAAAATGGCCCAATGGACACCAATGCCAGCAATGAAGGAGGGGGAGGAGGTGCTTCAGATGCTAGAGCAGAGGTCCCTCTGCAGACCCTGGAGAAGAACACAGTGGAGCAGGCTGACCCCTGCACCCCATCGATGACCACAGTTGAACAGATAATCACATGCAGCCCATGGAAGATAAGGACATCTGGATGTGTGTTTTGAAGAAAGCTGTAGGCAGCAGAAGGCTCATTCAGGTGGAGGCTCCTGGCCGGAGCAGATACCTGGGGCAGGAACCCATCCTGGAGCAGTCTGTTCCTGAAGGACAGCAGCCCATTGAAAGGACCCACACTACAGCAGTTTGTGAAGGACATGAAAGGGAAAAACAGCACCAGGATAAAGGACTGACAGAGAGGACCAGTTAACAATGACAATCATTGTTCTTCATGCCTGTGCAGCACTCAGGAGGGAAGAAGTAGGAAGAGTCGGAAATGAAGGGGTGAAGTTGAACCTGAATAGAAGTCAGAGTGACTAAGGGGAAGGTATTTTTAGTTTTGTCCTTTTGGTTTTCACCATTGCACTCTATTTTTAATTGACAGTAAATTAATCATTCTCCAAGTTGAGTCTGTTTTGACCATGATGGTAACAGGTGAGTAACCTCCCTGGCTTTATTCCAATCCATGAGCTTTTCCATCTTATTTCCTGTTCTGTGAAGGAAAAAAAGTAAGAGAGCTGGGTATGCATCTGGCAGCAAGCCATGGTCAAACACGCCACAGTGGTAGTACAAGAGGCCCCTATTTTACCCAAGGTATGCTTTACAGTAATTTTGGGAACTCAGGGTACCAACTGCCAGCCAGTGTCCTGGAAGAAATTTGTCCTAGCATCTCCTTGATCATGCAGTATTGACACAGTCCATTCATATTAAACTTGTTTATTTCATATTAAACTATTTTAAACTTACCTGAAAAATGTGCCTCTCAAACAGTACCAGAATTCTATGTAAGCACACAATAGGTAAAGTGAAATAGTATTTTCTATATGTATTGCACATAGTCTGAGGAATAAAACATGACCTTCCGTAATGAACTTTAGGCATGAGCCACTCTTGTCCCCACAAATTAATATTGACCCATATCAGTAGACGTTTAGTTCCAAAGAGTAGAGTACTCCAATGTGCTTTAGACATGCTTTTCTTTATTTTCAAATATGGGTTGAGGTGTCTTCCTTCTGTCAGACAGTATTTTGTGTTAAAATGGTTTTGGCAGCTGTAATCATCTTCTTTGCACCTTTTACTTCAGTGCATGGTGTTTGCATTTTTGGCACACTCCACCCCCACCCCCGATTTATGTGGGGGTTCAGCCTTCAAGGGTTCATCTGCAAATTGAAGATTACTCTTTTCTCCTACTCAGGTACAGAGCAAGCAGAATTGCAAGTCTAAGACAAGAACATTAAGTCTCATAAACTTTACAACAAAGGTAAATGTTGCTAGGGATGTTTATGGAGAAGATAATAAAAAATTCTGGATTGGAGCAACTCTTCCCTTAGAGAAGGCTAATGCAGTAAAATCACACTCTATGAAGAAACCTTTAAGCCCTAGCAGGAATGAAAACTGAGGTTCAGATCTCCCGTCTATCTGAGGATAGATATTATTGCATCTTTTTAATGTTAGGTCTGAATTATCAGAAGAAATATACTTTACATTTTATTTTATTATCACAAGAAATTTATATTACATGACAGAAAAAGTTAGACAAGTAATTTATTAAAAAGGTTAGTAGGGAAGGTCTTATTGCAAAATGCTAGTCTGCTGTCTGACATTTCAAAAAAAGGAATCTATACTTCCTTAAAACTAGAAAAACTACAAGAATTAGCAGTAAGCATGACTAAAAAATTCTCTACCACTTGAACTTTCTACATAGTATATATAAAAAAAAAAAAAACTAAGGTATTTAGAAACATTTTGTATACTTTGTTTTCCAAGAAAAAGCCTAAAATCCTGGAGATAGCTGTCAAATTACAAATGAGATACTAGTATCAAATTAGAGAAAGTGTATCTTTGAGACAGCTGGACTTCTTATGTGAAATACATTTACTCCATATTTCCTGCACCATAACTATGTTAAGTTTAGCCATGCACAGAAAACTATTTTTGAAACTTTCTCAATGTTGGTTGCATGTACTTGTTCTCACTGGATTGTTAGTCTTACCTCATCAATCAAATATTCATGTACAAACTGATTTCATTCAAACCAATCAAAATTCACAGCAAAATCATCTATGGATTTTAAATTTGCCATATTTGTAACTTACTTTTTGTTCACTTTTGCCTTTATTTGGCCTCTAAGTTCCACTTTTTTCTATTGCTTTGTCTGTCAGTAATTCCAAAATTGTGAACAACATAACTTTTTTCTTATGTTTTACAGTTGCCATACAGTCACATCTGTCACTTACCAGTCACGTGGCATAAAGTGCACCTTGTGGACACTGTCATCTTCATATTCCAGACTCAAGGTAAGACGAGTAAAAACTAGGTGACTATGCACAAACCCACTTCATTTTTTTTTTTTTTTCCAGGAACAGCTAACAAAATTATCCATGACAGAACCATAAGTGAAACACAGCCCTTGAAATGTCACAAAGATGCACTAAAAACATGATGCGTCCCTGCCAGCATGGTCAGCCAAGGATCACAACCTCTGTAATTATGTCAGTGTACAGAGAACTCAATTTTTTACTTGTGCCAAAGTTAGAGAATAACAGACTTCTTAACTTCAGTCCTCTACCTGAAATAATTACACGCAGTAATGACTTTAATGCCTTTTTCTCTCCACAGGAAGTACTTGTTAGACAGTACTTTGTTAGTGCAACAATATATATCAACTCTAGTTGGTGACTTTGCATCAGACATCTTTGCATCAGTAACTTTTTAAGTAATTAGGGCAGGGTGGATGGAAAACAGAGTAAACACCTGCCCCTAAAGCTTACCCAATTCATACTCTTAAGAATACTGGTGTTCAGCTCTACTGCTTGTAATGCAATTGAAATATTGTGATCTCTTGCAGGCAGTTTAGCAAGAGAACAAATACTTAAATTTACGTTATGATTTATTTTTCTCATTTACACAGAAGACAAACAAGACACAGTCACTGTCTATAATAATAAATCTTTAGTAATTATATAACATTACTCTTCATGGGAAAACAAGTAGGAAATCAGCCCACTACCCCAGATTTCTGTCTCCTGCTAGAAACTCTCTTACCAGCCTCTGCTGGGTTTACAGATAAAAGGCCTTTTGGCCATGGTGATCCATGAACAATCAGAACTGAACAAGAAGTTCAGCCCTATAAATAACAGACACACTAGAAAAGCATATTTCCCCTCACATCTGTCAGGAAAAGGGGAAAAAGGGAGAACTGCCAAGCTGGCATGCTACACACTAATTCTTTACCTAGTTCTACCTAGCACAAATTCTTTATCTAGTTACACACTCATTCTTTACCAAGAATATTAAACATTATCTTGACAACATGATGATGAAAATTTGAGACGTTGCAATTCATTCCTAAAATAAGCTGTCTGATCCATGTGGATGGATCTGATGTGTCGAGACAATTCCCTCTTTTGTTGGCAATGTGTTCCAATAAGAGCCTTGAAAGCTAACCTCATTTTCTTGTTAGCTTCCAGTCTCTTGATCAGTGCAGATGCAAGACCTCTCAATACAATCTCATGACTGGGATGAGAAATGGCCAGGAGAGTTCATTATGTGTGCCTCCAGCTGCCAAATCAAGCTGCACGCCAGATAATGGTGAAGGGCAAGGATATTTGAGGAATTCTGTAAGCACTGTTCAAGCTGCTGCAGGCTGCAGTACTTGGGGTTTTTTAATGCAGCACATGCTCTCTTTGAACTTTTTATTTCCTTGAAATTTAATTTTCTGTTTTCTTTCAAAGTACTTCCTCAAAATAATAAGGGGCTTGCCCCTAAGCTCCACCTTCATCTTTCACAGCTCTCCACACCCCGTGGACTAAGTTTATCGTCCGACAGATATTTGAAGTGACAAAGAGAACAAGAAATCAGAATCTTCTTCACACTCTGCCTAGGCACATCTTACTCTTCACCGCTGCAAGTTTCGTGCACCGCTTCCCAGCCACTCCACCTTCCCTTCCGTCTCTCGATGCTCCCTCACGGAGCTGTTCCAAGCCCCTCGCAGCAGCGGGCGAGTCCCAGCCGGCCCCGCTCGCCCAGGCGCGGCTGCCACAGCCCCCCGAGCCCGCCCAGCCCCGGCCCCGGCCCCGGCGGGTGCGCGGTCGATTGGGGCTGGGCCCACGAGGCGGCCCTGCGACCCCGTGAGCCGCGGGGATCCGGTCCTGCGCGGGTTCCGGCGCTGCCGGCACTGAGGAGGAAGCGTTAGAGAAAGTACCAAAGGATAAACAAGCGCGGTTGCCGCGGTCCCGTGTGTGAGGCGCGGCCGGGCGGGGCGCGGGGGGCAGGGGCGGGGCGCTGGGCGCCGCGGAGGCCGGGCCGGGGCCCGCGGGTGGGGCCGGGCGGGGACCGGAGCCCGGGGCAGGAGCCGAGCCCGGCCCGGGCCGCGCCCGCCGGGGAGGTGGCCGGGCTCCGTGCGTGCCCCTGGGCTGCTGCGCACCTGGGGCTGCGGGCGTACCGGGAGCGGTCCCGAGGCGGGCGGCTGCGCGGGCTGGTCCGGAGCATCGCTGTTCCTGGGCGCCGTTCCCTGCGGAGCCTCGCCGTATTACTCCAGGAGCCGCCGTATCGTCGGGCAGGTGCTGCACTCAAGGGCAGGGAGACGCGTCTGCTGTGCCTCTGTCCTTTTTTGCCTTCTTTTCTTCTTTTCTCCCCATCTCTTTTTTCTTTCCTTACTCCTTTCCCTCTCTCCCCTTCTTTCCCTTCCTCTCTCTCTCCTCCAACCCTCCCCCCCCGCCCCCACTTCCCCTCTCTCCTCTCCTTTTTGGTTCCACTTATGTCCTTTTTCTTCTTTCTTTCCCCTGTTCTTCTCATTTCCCTTTCCCCCTTCTTCCCCTGCTTTTTCCCTGTCACACCTCCTTTTTTCGTAGTTTGTTTTGTTTCCCCACTCTCTGTCTGCCTTCCGACCTTCCGTTCGCCTTTTCCCGCGGCAGTGCATGCAGAGAGCCCCGGGTAGGCTGCTGCCCTCCGGGCTGGGTGTTCGCTTGGTGGGAAATCTGCTAGCGAGAACAGGGTTTAAGGTTTCGTGATGCTCTTGAGGTGTTGCAGTTGTAGGTTGTGCTGCTTTTTTTTTTTTTTTTTTTTTTTTTTTTCCCTGTCTTTAACTCAATGTAACTGGGAAAACCCTGAAAAAAAGTTCTTTTTGGTCAGAATTAAAAAAAAAAAAAACAACCAAAAAAAAAACCAAAAAAAAAACCAAAAAAACCCCCAAAAAACTCCCAACTAGTTAGAAGATTGTAAATAGGGGATTTTTTGTCGCCCAGGTTGGGTGAGAGGACTGAAAGAGAAGGCTGACAGGAGACTCAGTTATGCTCTGGCACTTTGCCTTCTTTCAGCTCAGAAAAGTGGACTTCTTTGTGGGAAAGAGGAGGAGTGGCAGCAGGAGGGAATTGCCATTTTGGAGTCTGCTATTTTAAATTTAATTTTTAATGGAATATGAGGTATTTGACCACAGAGCTGGCAAGAATGAGAGTCAGAAATGGTAATGAGAGAAGAGGGGACAAATTTAGCTTTTCTGTCTTTCAGCTTGAAAATCTTTGTGAAAAACAGTGCAGTATTTGTATCTCAAGCTGGAGATCACTTAGATTGCTTTTGAAAATAGGTGTATACAAAAGAAAGTATTTTTTCCTCAATGATTAGCTATTCTGCCTATAGTGTATACCAGTTACCAGCATAATGTCTTTCCTACAATAATCTGAATTATCTGGGATAACACTAACTTCCTGAGGCCAGAAGAGCCAAAAGTTGCTAAAAATCCGGATGAATACCTTTGCCAAGTCTGCCTTTTTTTTTTTTTTCCTAACATAAATCAAATACAAGGCAGACATACAAGCTAAAGATTTACAGTCTATTTGCTGAAAATACTATGTTTACTGAGCAAAATCCTGCTTTCCAATTTTGTTTCCACATTAGAAAACCCACTGCTAGTCTTATTAAAATAGTTAATTTCATTTTTTAAATAATCCCTCTCAGTTTTGCTTTGGATTTCAACATAATTTAAAAGTTCTCCCTTTACTCTGGTTCATAATCTCCTGAAACTGAAAACACCTATCAACATAGAATTCTGTCTTAGAAAAAAACGAAAAAATGTAGTGCCACAAAAGTGTATCTTACCCAGTAATACAAGTGAAGTAACTTTCAAGTGTTAGGTAAACTTCATAGCTCCAGAGACACCACTTTTTGCAATGTGCAGCATTGTTATTCATAGGATAATTTTGGTGCTGTTAAAAGAAGTTAATAAAACAAACAGAAACCTAATCTTGGAAAACTGTGATAAAATATATCAGGAAGTTCACTGATGATTCTTTAGCTCACTGATGAGTTATAACTGTAGATATGGCTTTAAAATGCTGGCTTCTCCATAGGGCTTAAAAAATCTCAGAATATTTTCTATGTTGTGCTTGAAGAGGGATCCCAGTACTCAAAAATTTGACAGCTTCTTCCTTCCACCTTCCTTCTGGTTTTACAGACTACCTTTCCTGCCAGTGTGTCCCATTATGAAATACAGCATTGTCCTAAGGCAGCAATGAGCAAAATTTTTTATGTGGGCATGAGGAGTGCTCTTCCTGATGATTATAGGTCCTACTTTAGAATAATGTAAAAAAAGTGTGTGTTTTATCTTGAAGTAGACAAAGTGTACAAATTACCTTGAGGAGCACCGGGCAGTTCTACTGCATGTTAAATTGGCCAACATTAGCTTAAAGATTTCATTATTTTTTGTTTTATGATTTGTACTTCCAGTGTTAGTAGCCTAAAGGTAAAACCTGTATTTTTGTCCATACTAAGAGTCATGGGCTTCTTGAGATAGGAACTGGTCACTGAGTGACTTTGCCATAACATCTTTACTCTTAGTTGAAATTCCTTATTGTTAGCTCAATCTATGGGGTATCTATGGACGGAAAGGATTGGAAAAAGTAATCAGATTTTGAACTGTTCTGCAGAAGGTTTACGTGATACAGTAGTATAAGAGAGTACTAGAAAGGCTAGTAACACTGACTGTTTTTTCAATTTACAGTCTACACAGAGTGTATGTTCATGTGAGTGTTACTAATTTTTTGAAACAGAAATATTTCAGAGTGTTAGATATCTAACAATTGAATATAATATCTTCAAATAACCTGGAGGTTTGAATTTATTTCTGTATTTTTTTAGCTCTGAAAAAACAGTTGTCTACTGCTACTCTCTTTTATTTAATTTCCATGTAGTGGTATATGTAGCAGTACTAGTCACTTGTGGAATTTTGTTTAAAGCTGTCTTCCAAGTTGAAAAAGGACTATAAATGCATTGGGGATTTTTCTGTAAAAAGATAATGTATTTTCCCTTTTTATTGTTTTCTTGAGCACCTCTGAAGGAGAAGCATCTACTCCTACAGTGTGTTGCGGACAACTGACACATGAAGCCCACATAAAACCCTGCTGCATATGATTTCAGAATTAAGGGTCCCATAAAGATTTATTGTAAGCCAACTATGCAGCTTATGACCAGTTCTCATTTTCACTAAGACTCAAGACTCAATACTATCTAACAGAACAAATATGAGTTCTTGGACTGATTTACAGGCATATCTGCTTTCAAGATTGTGCTGCTTGGTGTCCTGGAAAGCTGAGTAAATGACTTCTGTGCCTGGCAGATCTCTGCAGTCCACGAAGTCTGTCTTTGTGTTTATGCATGTTTGTGTTTATACATGTTGTTTTTATACAAGCTGCTTACTGCTTTGAAAATCACTGCCTCATCAGAAGGAATGTTCTGCATAACTGAATCTGAATGGAAGCATGGTAATTGTAGTAACTACAGGATGTGTGCACTTTGAAGCATTCTAGATATGTTAGCACTTCGCGACAAATCCATCTTCGGGCCTCACTGGCTGGAGAGATTCCCAGAGGCTGTCTGGTTGGATCTGTCCTCCTGGCCCAATGTGTGGGTGCCAGGGATGGGAGTGGGGTTGCTCCTTCCACCAGCAGCACATCGTGGTGCCAGAGCAGTGGTGCAGTGAAGCTGCAGAGGTTGTGCTGTGTCAGTGGCCAGAGCCTGGTGTCCTGGCTGCTGGAGTAGCAGTGCCCTGCTGGCTGTGCACCCTCACAAGCATCCTCATTTGTAGGACCAGCAGCTAGCTCCAGTCCAGCCTGTCTGCACAAAACTTCCATGCCAGCTCTGGTCTCCCTCCAAGCTCTGGTATACTGTTGTAAAATGTCTAGTGGGGTTTTTTCCTTTGTTTTGAAGACCTAGGTTTCTCTTGGAATTTTGTGTTTGCTAGAAATCAAGCTGAAATTACCTTGGTTTTGTTTAGTCATACCATACAGTTTGTAGACAGTTTGTAGACAGGAATAAAGACTATCTTTGGCAGGAAAGAGGGAAGTGGGCAGCTAACTCAGCGTTTCTACTGACTCCCCCAACTACCAGCAACGGCTGTAAGTTTTCCCTTTCAACGATGACTTCTTCAGAAGTACAGATTTTGACTTGAGGAGAAAGCAGTTAAAAAAGGAATTGGGTCAGGTATGTAAATTCTGCAACTGAAGCTCATTTGAGAGCAAGACAAAGGCTGCCAAATGAAGCATTTCCTCCATAGCTTTGCAAACCTTCCTCCACCTCTCCCACAGTGCAAGATAATTCTCTAGTGAGTGCACTAAGGCTATGCAGAGCTAAAGTTTTAGTGATGTTAAAAAAGCTTAACTGAATGTAATCTGAAACTATATTAATGAGTGTTCTATGCTCACTAAGTGTATTAGGTGTATTATTAGATGAAAGGCAACAAATCTTACCCTGTAAAGATCAGCTTTTGTGAATGGGAAATGATCAGATTTTAGGACTTTGAAATTGTGAGCATAAATAAATAGTTACTTACTATTAAAGTTGGTCTGAGGAAGGAGTATGCCAGTGAAAGAAATTTACAGGGGAAAAGAATTTCACTGAGAAATTTACAGGGGAAAAATTATAAAGATAAGAGCCATGTTAATGTGTAAATGTTTGCAGATCTCTCTTTTTGGTATCATGAAAATGCCGTGTCTGATTATTCTGAGCTCTGAACAAAAGAGGAATTGCACCCAGCTGGGTGTACAAGAATCCCATTCTTTCTGAATGGGATTCTTTATCCTACACTCAACTAAGTTCTAATCTAAAGTGGGAGCAGGAAAGACTTCTTAGCAAGTTTTATTCTTTGAAAATTTTAGAAGGTGAAGACAGCCATGGTCACTTTCAATTAAGACCATCTCCCTCTACTGGGACAGTGATGAGTTGGTAATCTTCTTGAGTGTGTTATGTCTCAGTGCAATAAAATGCTTCTCAATGCTCCTATGAAAACTAAGAATAGGATAAAATAATAGTGCTAACAGCCTAAAGAAAGGATTCCAATGTCTATCAGCTAACGTATCACAAATATAACTGTATTTGAAGTGCACTTTAAGTTCTAGAAACATCTTAATTTTTAAGTTGGTAGGCAGAATACAGTAATTGAAGGTTAAGCAGTATCAGAGGCTTCATCCTATGAAAAGATATAAGCAATGAACACTATCACATATTTAGTCTCCTTCCTTTGTTAGTTTAATATGTGATGAATATTATTTTTGGAGCATTAGATCTACTAGTGCAAACAAGCAGGACATCAAGTACAAAAGTGTGTGATAAGTTACAAAGTGTGTTAAAATATATTCTAAATTATGTGACTGGGTTCGATGACACATTGCAAATTGAATAACAGAATTCTGGAATTTTGTTTTTAATTCTTTTTTAAATTCAAAGTGTAAGGACATCATTGTTAAAATTTCCCTCTGTGTGCTTGCCACTGTAATTGCATGCTAGCTCACTGGGCTACTTTTCTTAAGTTTTCCATTTTAAATCTTCTTCCAGTTTGACTTCACTGTACGTGAAAAATATACTGCCTTCCTTAAAATAGATAAGAAATGCAGGATAAAATATTTACCATTGTAATTCCAAAAACAAAGTACACTTCAGTGTAAATAAAATGTTTATATCATGCTGCTAGTGACAAATTTGTGTCTACTTTGTGGTCTCTGCCTGCTGTTGGCTTGAAATACAATATATTTGACTATAATAGTTCCTAATTCTCATAGCTGTGCTAGGCATTTGTGCAGTGTTCCACACCTTCCTCCCACCTGCAGTCAGTTTGCAGTGCCATGGGCATAGTGGTGAACCCAATGTGTAGTGCATTCCAAGCAGCATTACTAAGGAACAACTCTGTGATGCCATGCCTCAGTTTCCTACATGCACCTGTTCTAAGATCAGCAAGTAGCAGCTTAAGAGCCACAGTTTAGAAATTAAAACTTAAAATGATCCTGGGGTAGCTTAAAGAGAATATGGGGAAAAAGAAAATTCTTATGCTGAACAACCTATAGCAAAACACAGCAGTGGACACAATACACACTTACTTTTCTTGAACAGAGTTTCTTACCAGTTAAAAAGTTATTCTGAGGCACTGTCTTTTTTCTTGAAAGTAGTAAAAATGTAAGAAGCTGTGTATCTCTTAAATACTTTATATTTCATAAACTTAAATATTCATGTTTTGGAAGACATTCTCTGTAAACTGTGTAGGCCTTTGCAATTAGAGGCTGGTTTGAAATTCAAACCTGCACTAAATTATTAGGCAGTGAATTTGTGATTAGAAGTAGCATCTGAGTAGCAGTGTAGGTTATTTAAGGATATCCTGTTCTTGATCAATTTACCTGCATGACATAGTACTTAAAAAAAAAATAAAAGACACACAGTTCTGCAAAACAGTTCTAATATTCTCAACAGCTACAGCTGTAGCTGCTGCACAACTGGAGTGATTCTGTTCACAGAACAGAAACAGAAAAACAAGTGCTTAAAGAGTAACAGAACTAACAAACAAAAATTATCTAGTGCTTGTGCAGTAAAGTAGAAAATAAAATTGGCTAGAAATCTTGTTGCAATCCAACATTGCAGCATACCTCCACATAGAAGTAATTGCTGAATAAGAAGAACAAGCGTGTTTAAATGATGGTAATGCAACACAGCTGTGCACTAAATAAGTGCACTTGCAGTGACCTGATACAAATCAGCTTGAGATAGAGGTCGTAAGTATTGCCTCTTACTTTATAAACCTATTTCAGCAATTCAGTAACAGCTTTTCTCACAACTCTGAAAATTGAGATGCCCTGATGTAATAACTTTTCTCCTTGCCCTTCTCATCAGCTCTTCCCTAGTGGTATTTCTAAACTCATATGAAGGATGTTGAAGAGACTGTCTCACATAAAGATCTTGAAAGGCTGCAGGGACTTCTTTGCCAGTGAGAACTAAGGCATGACTGCCATCCAGGAAGTGAGTGGTAAGTTTAATGATAAAGAAATCTATGTCAACCCTGAAGTTGGTATTAAACATTCTTGTCAGGCTCTGAAGCATGAATTAACACGAAATGCTTGCCTTTCAGTAGTGTATCTGACTTCAATTTTGTTTTAGATGCAACTAAATCACCTCTATTTTCTTATTGAACTTTGGTTTGTAGTGTTAGTACTGTGGCAGTTTCATGAAAACTATGCTTCTCCCAGCGTTTTTCTATTAAAAAATTGTTTGTTAGTTTTTAATTTTCAACAGAGTATTTTTGGCTGAATTATTCAGCTTTTTACTGTCACTAAATAAGAATGCAATTATTAATTACTAGTTTTTTAAAGAAACCTTTTAGTCTAAGAATGACTATCATATTCCATTTTGTTTTAGGATTTTTCCTTCCATTTCCCTGAAAAATTTGCCAAAATCCTGAGAAACAAAATTTTTTTGGAAGTTGTTGAAGCTCTTATGAATAGAGAAGAGGATATTTTTTTTTAGCCCTGCAAAGCTACCTGATATTTGAAATGCTGAAGAGGAAATTACGGTTTTGCCACAACTCGCGCTTCAGGCTTTTCTTGGGGCTAACTCTCATTTTAGTAATAATTTCAGTTTTGAAAGTTAACCAGAAAGAAGACTTCCTAAATCGGAGACATCTGGAACTAACAAAAGAAGATCCTATTAGCAATGTTAACTGCACCAAGATTATTGAGGGGGATATAGAAGAAATACAAAAGGTACAGCTTGAGGCATTATCAGTGTCATTTAAGAAACGCCCCAGACTAACAACAGATGATTATATTAACATGACTGCAGACTGTGCCTCCTTCACCAAGACTAGGAAATACATTATGGAACCTCTCAGCAACGAAGAAGCAGAATTTCCAATTGCTTACTCAATTGTGGTTTATCACAAAATTGAGATGCTCGATAGACTTCTAAGATCAATCTATGCTCCGCAGAATTTTTATTGCATTCATGTAGACAAAAAGTCTCCAGAATCATTTTTTGCTGCTGTGAAGGGAATAGTCTCATGTTTTGATAATGTCTTTATTTCCAGCCAGTTAGAGAGTGTGGTATATGCTTCATGGAGCAGAGTGCAGGCAGACATTAACTGCATGAAAGATCTCTACAGAAGAAGTTCAAACTGGAAATACCTAATAAACCTATGTGGTATGGACTTTCCTATAAAGACCAACCAGGAAATAGTAGAGAAATTAAAAGCCCTTAAGGGTGAAAACAGCTTGGAAACAGAAAAAATGCCTGTTTATAAAGAAGTAAGGTGGAAAAAACACCATGAGATTATTGACGGTAAAATAAAGAACACAGGCATAGACAAACAACTACCACCTCTCAGTACTCCAGTTTTTTCTGGCAGTGCCTATTTTGTAGTTAGCAGGAGCTTTGTAGAATATGTACTAGAAAACAGCAAAATACTTAAGTTCATTGAGTGGGCAAAAGATACTTACAGCCCCGATGAGTACCTGTGGGCAACAATTCAGAGAATCCCTGAAGTTCCAGGTGCGTTTTCTTCCAGTGACAAGTATGATGTTTCTGACATGAATGCACTGGCCAGGTTTGTCAAATGGCAATACTTTGAAGGTGATGTGTCCAAAGGTGCACCCTACCCACCATGCAGTGGAGTTCACATTCGCTCTGTCTGTGTTTTTGGAGTAGGAGACTTGAACTGGATGCTACGAAACCACCACTTATTTGCTAATAAGTTCGACACTGATGTCGACCCTTTTGCAGTGAAATGCTTGGAAGAGTATTTGCGGCACAAAGCTCTGTATCTGCAAAAGAACTGAAATGTGTGCTCCTGTCAGGAAACATAGCTATAAATATTCTACTGCAACGTACTTTAACATGTTGCAGCAATTGTGGTGATGCTGATAATGGGTATAATGACTCCCACCATGTTGGTGTGGTGGTGCTCATGCCCTGCCTTGTCCACAGACAAAAGGCAGAAAAGACATATCTTGAGTATGTCTTGTGGCACACTGAGGTTTGGAGCTTTAGGTACAGAATCAGACCGCAGTTTTTGGAAAGCCAACTATTTGGAATATTTATTGTCTAGAAGGTATAATTAATGGACTTTCCTTTGGCCAAACTATTTTAAGGCACAGAAAATGCATGTTGTTCATGGTTATTCTCAATATTTTTTCCCCATGAATGTAATGCTAGCTGGAAGAGAAAGATGAAGGAGTGGGGTACAAAGCAGCTGGACTGCACTTCATACTGAATGCTAAAAGATCTCAGGAATACAACATTAGAAATTATCTAAAAGCTATGCAAAAGGGGATATGCAAAACCAGCTGTTACCATTTTATGTAGATCTGTTTGCTGCAGTTATATTACATGTGATTCTTAATCCTCCTGAAATTTTTGTCTTCAGCATAGAGTATTAAAGAATTCAAATATTTTGTATTCTTAAAGCACCCTGATATTGTGATATAAAGTTTATACACTAGTTGTAATTACATCTTCTCAGGGAAACTTCAGTTTTGTGCCTGATGAGATTTAGACTTGTAATTTTACATTTCTTACTGTTTGGGGAGTTTTGCTTTTGTATCCAAAATAGCTGAAGTTTCTCAAAACTTAAAGAACTGCAGTAGTGTCTAAATATTACTGATGGAACTGCTGGTTTCTGCTTTCTGTAAGCTCAATTTACATTCCAGATTATTTTAACACTAAGTATGGAAAAAATAAAATTATTTTTTTAAATTATATTGTCTCTTCCTACAATTGAAGTCCCCTCTGAAAATATCACAAATAATTCCTAATGATGAAGGCCGAAGATATTTTTGCTATAGTTTTCCATACATGACTGAAGCTGCAGCTTATGTAAGCCCTTCCTTACCTCCATATGATCAATTGTTCATGTGTCTGTGCTTGTTTAGGTTTAACTTGTTCATCGGATTTTAATTCCAGTTAAGCCATTGCTTAGTTTAGCTGCTGCAGTATGACACAGAAGCTTGGGGATGAAAGAAGAGGACACTGTGAGGGATGATACTGCTTCCTTCTGTATCAGTTCAGGTTTGTCATGCATAGTTACTGCCAGCTGTCTCATTCCTGAGCTGGCAGTGGAATTCATTACAAGTATTAGCAAATGGCAAAACAGACTAAATGTTTTTATTTGTGAACTGTTGCTGTAATTGCAGCATGTGTTTCTCATAAAAGCACTTTGTTCTGAAGTTTCTCCTATTTAGACATTAACATAAAGGACTGCTTACTGTTGGTCATGCAAACAGCTAGGGAGGCAAGCGGTTTAATCTGAAGTGGAGCCTGTTTTTGCCAACCTCTGCCTTCAGAACCACCTGAAAGTTGTTCAGGGAGTCTTCAGACTTTCACATTAACAGGTAATTAAAGCCTGTCAGCGAAGGCAGTTGAGGGAAATACCCCGTCTTCCCCACCCTCTGACTTTTCTACAAGAACGCTCTTGTACACAGTCGTGCTTTACCACCTTTGCACAAGGTACAACAACTTCACTGCACTGCGTATAGTACTGGGAATTTCCAGGAAGTAATTTTTGTTTAAGAATTTGCACCTAAAAATAATATACATGAGTATCTTCTATGATACCAGAACTGCTCTTCAAAAAGACTGAAAAGTGATGGTAAATAATAAAATATTCTGGGCAGCAGATGGACTGCTGACTCAGTTGCTTGAAATCTACTTGTCAGTTAGACAGCATCTTTACCCTACCTCTTTCAGCCTGCTTTGTACTTAGTCATTTGTGTAATACCCTGTCTGTATTTCTGTTGTAAATATTACTACTACTATGGGTAGCAAAGATGCTGCTTGGTTAGATGCTTCAAATATTACTGTTTAGATGGAGTCAAGAGAGATCCTGTGTATGCTCACTGTATCTTCTGTACAGAAGGAAAAGTAAGAGAGCATAGCTGTTTAGGATATGTTTGCCATAAGGAAGAATTTCTTCTGGGAAAACGAACTACAAAACAACCCTCTAAAACCCTCTCTAAAACTGACTACAGAACAATCACCTTGCTCTGTTAGAATTTAAATGCCCAAGTCACATAGCCAGCTTACACCAGCCTTCACACCACAGGAGGGAAACTGGAGAGTCACTGAAATCGTTGCTGAAGGGCCATGTTAGGGGTCCCCATTTTCTGTAGCAGAGCTTTCTAGAAGAGCTCAGTGCATTGAAGTCACTGCGCTAGTTCAGTCCCCACTTAACACATAAGCATTTTGAGTGGCATTAATAATAACAACAACTTACTTAGTTTACTGATTATAAGTGTAGTAACAAAGTATCCTGTAACACTTAGGATCACCAGGCTGAAAGCCTTTAGGATTGAAGGGTGATTTGATCTCAAAAACCTAATATATGTGCTTTTATCTCTTGCCTGCCTGAGGTTTAGTTTGACAAGGGAGCATGTGTTTGGCTCTTGCTCCTTCCTACCGAGCACAAGAAAAAGAAAACCTATAACACTGCAGGTTTAATCAAGGTCACCAGTCAGATCATCATTACTTGGTGCATTTTCAATCAATCTGACAATTAAAAATTGACCTAGGTCATAACATGAATGCATCACAAGATAAAAATAAAAGAGGTCATCTGCTTCAACATACATGTACTAGGGTGATCCGGAGGATTTAATCCCTCCATACTCAGCACTGTTGCCAGCTCTGAATTGCTGCAGCAGTCATTAAAAGTAATAAACATGATTTAATATAACTTCTGCTGGAATACTTCACTTTTTAAATTTCAGTCTTCTTTTATTGAAACTGATAGTGGTGGTTTTCTTTTAATAATGGAATAACTAGGAGAGTTAATATTGTAGGGAGTACCTCTTCAGTCAACTTAAATAAGGAAAATTTTGTAATGTAAAATGGCTTCCACAGTCCAGCTAGAATTTATTGTTAGCTTAATGTTTCAGTAATCTAGGTAAGTTTTTAAATTATCTTCTTTTCAATGGATCAATTTAGTGCATTTTAATGCTCTAGACTACAGTGTGATAAATTAACAGTAACTTGCTTTTGACAGACAACAGCCTTCCAGGTTTCATGCCTTAACAGACATGAAAACCAATAGCCTTTAGATTACATTTTTTTATTTGAAATCAAGCCAGCAGACTTTTAACAGATATACTTACTTAGTTTTTAGAATCTAACTAATCTGATCTTTTACATTATTTCAAGATGTTACTGTATCTTTTTGAAATATGTATCCTAATTCTTCTGTTTTATAGCAGAAATTAGTTGGTTTTGCATACATTCTTTGCATGCAGATAATAGTTTGGTTTGTTTTTTTTTCTTCTTGGTTCCCCCTTCCTCCCCTGCCACATCCTTTTTTTTTTCCACCTTTTTTTTTCACCCCTTCCCTTTTCTGGATCTGACAGTTCTACATACAGATGTCTGTGCTTGCATCATTGTCTGCCTTATTTGCCGTGCCTTATATACAGTATCTTCAAAGTGGGAAATATTCTGCTCAGTGCCCTCTTTTAAATACTCTGCCTCTCAAACTGAGCTTTGCTGTTGGAGTCTTAAACATGTTTGCATTCTTCTATGATCTGCCAGTATTTGTTTTATTTTGTCTGGTTTTTGTATCTATAATACAGCTTGACAAGAAAAAGTTAAGAACACGACCAAATCCTTGAAGTAAAAACAGTATAATTAAAATATATTGTTTTCTTCAAAAAACCTGAAGTTTTCAAAGTTTCCTAAGAAAACAACTAAGTTGTGTAAAAGATGAAAAAATTCTGCTGAGAACATGTCAGGATGGGCTTTGAGCAGATGCCTTCTTTTAAAATCCATGTCACCTACTCCAAGAGAGGATGCTGGAACTTTTTCTGACAGATACAGATCTAGCTACATTTTAAATACAGTATTTCCTTTGGACTTGGAAATGTAGCCCTCTGGGTGATCTAGTCACATACAACTAATGGTGTTTTATTCTGTACCATGAAAACATTAATCTTGCATATCTTAATTTTTTCTTTAATATTTCATGGACATGACCCCCTTAATTCTCTCATTTAAACAAGTAATAGTTCAGGAATCTTTTAGCAGAAAATGTTTAATTAATAAAATCATCAATATCTTTGATGAATTTAGTTTGTCTACCATCAAAACCCTTTATCACTCTCCCTTTCAGACAACTTGCCTGGGGTGGGGAGCAGAAATGGTCGTAAGGCTTCAAAGTGTAATTTACTGACTAGTGTGTGATAGGGAAAGTGAAAATTGTGGCTTAGCATCAACAGTTATGAGTGAGTCTTTAGTATATTGTGCCAAGAGCTGTGTGAGTTGCTTTAGTGATGCTGGAAATAGAGATTCCCTAGTGTTGATGTGAAATCATGTTAGTATGGAAAATGTACTGGATGAGTACACATGACATGTCTGTAGATAATGCTCATAATTTCATTAACAACAGACTGTTGTTAATTAAACATGTTGCTTTCACCAGGCAGTTAAATCTTGATTACCCCTTTGAATCACTAGATTATTAGGATAATTTTGTAATGCCTACAAGAAGGAGTTAAAGTGCTGTTGACCTTAATTTTGAGTTAGTCCAAGCCACCCTTTAAGCCTTTTCAAGTTCTGCAAAAATAGCAAACTGTTTTTAACAACATACCAGGCAGCGATGTTATGCACACGGCATGTATTTGCTGGGCACGAAGAACAAGGAAGTGCTCTTAAGAGTTAACGTATGATAAGCCTTGTAAGCCTTGCATCCTGGCACATTCAATTCCTGTTGCCTCAGGGGCCCCCAAGAGCAGAGGGGATTTGCTTTTACACCAGAGCAAACCCAGGTGAGACCAAAAGCATTTATTCTTTCTGCTGTGCCTGTGGCACTGTAGCACTGAGCAACTGCTGCCTGTGAAATATAGAAATCCTCAACAATGAGACAGCAATGAGAGAGCAATTATAAAATAAATATCCAGACTACACAATTAATTTGTATCTTCTTCAAGCACTTTTCATAAATGGCAAAATACAAGTACCACACATTCTCTTCCCTTCCTCTCTTCTTCCTCCCTCCCCACTAAATTTAATTCAAATAGCTTCTATGCCAGGAGACCCTGCAAACAAAACATTTCACAAAGATAATGTCCCTACTCCCTAGTGCAACAGACCTTTGGAGAGCTCTTGTTCTCTTTCAAATGACTAAAATCAGAAGGGCCAATTGTTTTCACAGCAATTACTCAAAGCCTTTTCCTTTGCTGGTTTTTAAACATTTCTTGCCTGCTTGTGTAGCAAGGGGCACAGAGAAAGAGGTCTGTTCTCTAGTTTCAGTATCTCCAGTCTCATAGGCTTTCTCCTTCGTTAAAACACAAGACTTCTCCCACCCTTGCCTCCTTGGTTCAGAGTGTCTTACCTTTTTTGCTTCTCCTACCATGATCTGTGAAGAGACAGCACATATGAAAGAAACCCTAAGAAACCTTCTAAACATTATTGGCCAAGGTACAAAGTGAAGTTTCAGCAAAACGATTTTCAGATGAATTAGATCTAGCATGTGATGGGTGACTCTGCTTCTCAACTTGGTAGCTATTTTTTAGCTTAATTTTTTAGTAAATTCAGTGTCTCAAACCCTCTTAAGAATAATTGCTTTTCCATATCTCCCTTTTATTTGGCAAACTACATTCTGCTAGGGTTTTATTTTTGAAATCACATTGCTTTTACCTATTACTGTATCAAAATTTGCAGTCAATATAGAGGACTTGACTTGTGAAGGTTGAATTTTTACTAGTAGCCTGAAGAATCTT